CGAAGTTATTCTATCTCGAAATTTGCCTATTTTTGCAGGGTGAAACAAGTGATCCTTTAATTTTGTTGAGTAGTGTAATTTTCTGAACGATTTTGTGATGGAAGCTACAAACTTAACAAATAATGGCGTAGAATTACACACACACATGGGAAAATATATTCATTTAAAATCTGTGCTTTAGTTGCAGATGCTCCCGCGAGAGCATTTATAAAATATTGTAAACCACATAATTCTTTTTATGCTTGTGAAAGATGCACAACAAAGGGTGTATCGGTAGGAAAAAATCGAAGTATCAAACGAGTTTATCCAGAAATGAATTGTAATAAACGAAGCAAAGAATCGTTTGAAAGTCGAGAACAGCCACAACATCATAAAGATCATGTAGATTCAGTACTATTAAAATTACCAGGTTTTGATATAATTAATTCTGTTGTCATTGATTCCATGCATCTATTATATCTTGATGTAATGAAAACTTTATTGGAGAAATGGGTAATAAAAAAGAGTATTGTAGGATTCAAAAGACGTCACGTACGCCACTTGAGAGATCTAATGATTTCCATCAGTCGAGACATACCATGCGAGTTTCAACGTAAAACGTTTGACACCAACGTGATAGTTAGATGGAAAGCGACACAATTTAGATTCTTTTTATTATATTGCAGTTCAACAGTATTATATAATATACTTCCGAACTATTATTGTAGGCATTTTTTGTTATTGTTTGTAGCTTGTAGTATTCTCAACAAACAGAACGTAACGTTGTCATATTGTGATTATGCTAAAAATTTATTGAGGAAATTTTTTTATTTACTACCATCTCTATATAGAGAACAGTCACAAGTATTAAGTATGCATTATTTGATTCATGTAGCTGACGATGTTGCAAACTTCAAAATACGTTGAACGAATTGTCCGCGTTTTGGGGTGAAAATTACATAAGTATCTTTAAGAAACTTGTGAAATCATCTAAGAAACCTCTGGTACAAATTATTAACAGATTATTTGAATTAGAATCAGAGAAAACATTTAAAATAAAAGAGAAACAATATTTGGATAATTGCGTTTATCAAAATTCTAACACGTATGCTCATGAAGAGGAAAATTATATAATATAACAATATTATATCCAGCATCAAGGTTAATTTCGTGTTGAAATGCGACCATCCCGACAATGTAGTTTAATTAAGCGATAACAAAGTTCTTAAGATAGATGCAATTTTATTAAAAAAGCAAGATACTAAAAATATATTGAAACTCGAAAACTTGTATGTATTAGGCTATGTACCAGGTGTAGAAGTATGAAACCGGAATTTTTTTGTAAAAATTACACGTCTGTTGTTTGAAAATGATAAATAATATTTTATTCAAAATAATCTCCATTGCTATTTATACATTTTTCCCACCTCTCCGGCAGTTTATGAATGCCACGCCAAAAAACCAGTTCTTTTTTTGACGCGAACCAGTTATCGAGCCATTTTCGTACATTTTCATACGTATTGAAGTGTTGTTCAGCGAGAGCGTGTCCCAGTGATGCGAATAGATGATAATCGGACGGAGCCAAGTCTAGAGAATAAGCCGCATGTGCTAATATTTCCCAACTGAACGCCTCGATCGTTTCCCTGACTCGTTTTGCTGTATGTGATGGAGCATTATCATGAAGCAAAATGACTTTGTGTTGCCTTTTACCATATTCCGGTCGTTTTTCACATAATGCTCTATTTAAATCGATCATTTGCTGTTGGTAGCGATTAGTGTTAACGGTTTCACCAGGTTTTAGCAGCTCATAATAAATTACACCCTTCTGATCCCACCAAACACAGAGCACTGTCTTCTTTCCACGCTCTTCGTTTCTCACGTCAAAATTACCACTTTTAAATTTTTTGAACCACTCGAAACACTTTGTTTTACCAAGAGCAGAGAGGCTCTGCCAAGAGCATGTTCACCGTAAGGGTATATCCACACAAACTTGCATAGCCGCATAAACGTATGCATAAAGAAAATTACCTAATCACATTTCTCCTATAGAGACGCACGTAAAATGTGATTGGATAATTTTCTTTATGCATACGTTTATGCGACTGTGCAAGTTTGTGTGGATATACCCTAAGCTTCGACAAGCATTCGATGCGATTCTGCAGCAGTTTTCTTCAAATGATAACAGAAAACCAATGCTGTCCGCAAATCGTAGTTCATAGACACAAAACTCGACATGTTTAAGGTTATGAAAAAATATACCGGTGTATGGAACTTGGGTTGTTGTGTGTTGGAAATCTTCGTCAGCTGTTAGAGAGAGATGATGGCGCTGCAGATGCGGCCTTGGAATCCCTAAACTGATAGCTAGTGCCATATATAGGGAAATTCCGGTTTCATACTTCTACACCTGGTACTGGCTGATTGAGACGAGAAAGTTTTAATTATTCAATTTCTTCGAAAGAGGTTGCAATCTGTGTAAGCGCAAAATTTTTTGAATCTAAGGAAATGTTCCCCTTAAAATATGTACAACATAAATATATTTTATTAAATATCAATAATAATCATTATGTAATTTCTTTATTACATGTAACATGTAATACGTACCGATGTAATCTCCGTATATATATCTCACCCTCTCAACATATACTCCACGTATCACATGTTTCTTAAATTATACAAAAGATTGTAATGTACTTTTGCATTTGAAATGTTATTGAATTATCTTATTACGAGTATATCGCATTGATAATTGCAGTGCATGTACATTACGTACATACAGTACAATGCGACATAACTCTTCTTAATAGCAGATAGTACAACATCCTGCCTTGCTAAGTCCGACTCAAGGAAAATCGACTCATCTTAAGTGATCCCATTTTCAAGACGAAGGTTTTTTTTAATTGGTTATATTTATATTTATATATACGTGTACGTCTCTTTTAATGTAATATCTTTATCAGATGGCAAGTGAAGAGGAAGAAAAAGTATACGCAATTGTAGTTTCTTCAAAAGGAAGATTTGAGCAAATTAATTCATTTGATACCGTGTTCATGGATCTTCTCAGATGAAAGAGGAGTAGTCTGCAAATATCCTGACCATGAAGACTACCAGAAGTTACCATATTGGGTTGCATCATTGCAAAAAGCAGACAAAAAATGGAACAGTTTTTCCATCGAAGTAATGTCCTATGCAAGTAAGTAAATAAGTATTATGAAATGTCTAAAAACCGCAGGATAAAATGTTATATAATAAAAAAATAATCGATATTTTGCAGGTACTTATAAACAAGGGAAACGGAGATTAAAATGTGCTTATACAGACACGGAAATACGAAGCACGGACTGTGAAAATGCTTCATTAAATAAGTCATTGCCAATTGTATTGCATAATGATGATTTGGGGAAAGAACTCGACGATGTGCAATCGATTATCCCTAGCTCCCAGAGTGGGATAGAGGAATGTATATCAAATATTGGTAACAGAGCGTCGACGCCAAAAGAAAAAACGTTACCAAAAACGTCAGGAAATCAAATGCAAAAGGAAAAGTCAAAGAGGACACACAGTAATTTTTCAGGTTTTATTCAGGTTTTACTTATTCCTCCTTTAAGCATTCCTCCTTTATGCATTACAGCCACATTTCATTATCTTTTCGTTTACCAGGGGGTCAATCATGTATTTTCACGTGAAACTTTCCACATTTTATTTTTCACTTTTCACTTTTCATTTTTCACTCATCGAGGTCTCACGTGAAACTTTTCATATAACAATTACATATGCGATATTGCATGGACAACTGAGCAATCCATATAATCTATAACCTATAATAATAGAACCTATAATAACAGAAAGAAAAACAATAATGAACGTGACTGTGAAACAAAAATAATAATATATTATAATAATATATTTCACAAAAACTATTATTTGTATGTATGTATGTATGTATGTATGTATGTATGTATG